GTTTTTTTTTTTTTTAATTGACATCTTGCTACAGATTGTACACTGTACAGACCGTCTAATAAGCTACACTGTGCTTATTAGGCAGTGTATTTTAGCTGCTACTTAATCTTAAAAAAAAAAAAAAGCAATTTGCAGTTGCACTATCACCACAATTTTCTTCCACTTTGAATCCAAAGTTCAAACCAGCAGAATCCTAGTCTAACATCGCTAACAAAAAAAAAAAAAAAAGATTCTGTTTCTGTACTAGAATTTTGAGGAGCACATCAACCAAAGAGCTTTCATCTTCCTATCACATTGTTGCACCTGTCAGCTGTGCTCCTAATTTTACATCAACCCAGGTCAGGGCATGTTCACTTGCAAGGTTTGCAAAAGTACAGGTTTTTTAATAAAACCAGAATTCACCATGGCATAGTTTTTGTGAAATGGGTACAGAAGGACACAAGGCTGGCTTGCTTTCGTCTCTTTGGCATATACAGAATGCCTACTCCAAGAGCACAATTATCCCAGTGTTTCCAAAGCCTGAAACAATGAATAGCCCACATGATGCTGGCTGATTTGCTAACCTGGTGTAACTACTGAATGTGTGCCGTAAGAAAATGGCCACACTGATTTTCCAAATTGTTTGTACTGATCCTGGAAAAATATTTTAATGCCAATGTGTAAGTAGATTTCCTAAAATGTTTATAAAAATATTAAAGTGACATCTAAACTTAACTTCAAGATGCTGGCATGTTTGCCATTGATACCTGGCAGTATTCCACAATCATCTGTGCCCAATAAAATAATTCTGCATAAAATCTTTTTCTATTACAGTAGTTTTCCTTCAGCAGCAGTGTCATTAATGCAGTGAGAGCAACTCAAGGTGGACACCAGAAGCATGAACTGTTCTGCAAAGATACACATTTCAAAATCAATTAACACTTAAGAATCCTGTCTTAGAAGGGACAAAAGCCATGGCAAGGGCAAGTACACTGAACTTCACAGCCCCTCCTTTCACTGCCTCCTCCAGCACATTGCCCTCCCAGATGCCAGCGGCTGGGGCCTTTATATATTTAGCAATGATCCTCTCTTATCTGTCTTCCAAGAACTTGTCCCATCTCCCCTTGACCATCGGGATTCTGTTCTCTGGCAGGAGTTCTCCACCTCTGCTCCCTCTCCTGGGAAGGACAGGGAAAGCAGAAGGTGAGGAATGTGTATTCAAAGGGGCTGCTCTTCTCTGAGGCTCAGTGGTAAGAGAGGTTCATACCCTCTAGTCTTCCACTCCAACATCACTAGCCTTCAGCATTTTTACCAAGTCCTTTGCATCTGAGCAGCACCAGCTAGAAACAGCTCCCTCTTTGAGCATTAAGCCTAATTGTACCGAACACAAGTAACACATTTTTTTTAAATCCCAAGTAAACAGTCTGTATTCTAACACACAACAGGTCTGCACCAATTAAATACAGTATGGCAATATATAAATTACAGGTCTTTACAGTAAATAGTAAAATACGAGAGTCCGCTTATTGTACACAACAATCAAAGAACAGCAGCTTTTCAGTAAGGTCCCAGGTATCTCAATCATTCACTTGCTAAGGAACAAAGAAAAGATACAGCAGGCCATTCACTTCACTCATTTTTTACCATGTTGCTTTACAAATATCCAGAACACTTGTACAGGCATCTACAGTATCTACATGTGGAACAACCTTCTTAGGAATTCATAAGCACCAGACATAAATCCCTCCATCATTTCCATTATTAAAATAAACTTTACAGATTAAAATTACTTTAGCAGGTTCTATTTCATCTTGATAATAAACCAGCAAGTAACAAGTGCAAAGTCTGCAGTCATGATCCATTTACTGCTTCTTTATTTCCCATTTCTCCCCACCCCGCACCCAAAAAAACTAAAACCCCTAAAAAACCCAGAATGTTGTCCTCTCACACCCTTGGAGTAATACTGTTTCTGCAGTCAAACTGCCCAGCTGGCTTTTGCTAACATGTGAAATGCCAGACTCATAGCTTCAGGCATCATCAGTCATTCCAATGCCAAGTCAGCACAGTGGCAGGCCTCAAGGAAGACAAAACATATGAAGCAGTTGGATATTTCAGTGTGCTTAAACATGGAAGGCTGCATGGTGCCCAGTGACTGAAAGGAATATGGCACCAAGTTACCAGTTAAAACATTTACAATAGAAAGATATAAACAGCAAATATGTCAGTCTAAAACAAGTTCTTTGGTAATTAAGAACAGCGGTTGGGTCTTTTTTCCAAAATGGATTCACATCCTGTTTTTTCCTCAATAAAATATCTTTTGTTGTTTAAAATATATCTCCCAAGTTGTTGTGTAACAAATAGTCCAGTACCTCAGTTATCTACAATCAGCTTTAACTGTGTTTTAGTGTGCAGCCATATCTGCCTACTGGCAGACAATCTATAGATACACATTCATATATATATATAATATATATATTATTTATAAAAAATTAGAGAATTAAGTCAAGGACTCTAGAGAATACACATTCCATATGGACAGGTTAAAATGTACAATAGCTTCAAAAATCCATAAAGTTTTCTACACAGTGACGCGTGTAGTAAGTGCAAAAATACTGTGGTTTAGTTAATCCAAGATTTCCTGTTTTCCTGTTTCCTAGAAAAAGCAGAAGCTGCTGCATCTCCTGAATGGCAGAGGACGTCTCCTCCTGTCTTGGGAGTGGCTGATGAGCCTTGAAGCACAGAACTCTTCCGTTTCTCTGAACTGGAAGGTGCCTGAGAACGGGAAGTGCTACTCCATTTCCTTGCGGGAGCTGGTGCTTTGCTGAGGCGCCCGGGACGAACGAAAACACCGTGTCGTGGTTTGCAGTGGAAGTACTCTCTGCCTTTCACAATTCCATCGTGCTTCCCTTCAATGGAAAGAAATGCACAGGATTAAATGCTGGTGCTGCCATTAACACATACAATTGAGGCGATGAAGTGTGAATAGCTTTCATTTTCTGTCAAATAGTCAAGATTGCTCCTGCTGAGTGACAGAGCCAGATGCTTACCATACACTAGGGAGAACAAAACTTGGAAAGGAAGGCTTAAAATGTGACCAAAAAGATGATTTTCTAAAATATTGCTTTGTTAACTAATAGTTTAAAAAGCCAAGCATGTGTTCATTTTGCAAAATAAACTTTGCTTGCAAAGCTCAAAATTTAGCTGGAGACAAATAAGTGATATTACCTGTTAAACTACTAAAAACATATTTTTAAATGACCTGAACCATTTCTGTAGAAGTTTGTTAACACTTGCAGAGCACTGACTTTTTCTGACCCCTCTGAAATGAAGTAACAGAAAGCCTGTGTTCTGGAATTCATCTTTCCCCAGTGGAAAACAATAGATCTCTAA